CCACATTTCAAGTGGTTCGTCATAATAAAATGTATAGACAGTGTTATAGCAATGGTCCAGTGTACATACCCCTGGAAGAAAGCTGTTGAATTGTCTCAGACAAAGAAGGGTGAAGATACTGAGACAGACTGAAACCTTCCAGCAGTGTTATCACAGCACTGAAGTCCATGTTGTGAAATCCCCTCTGGTTTATTATTCCCTAATACTTCATATCACCTTCATGGATCCTACTCTCATTTTCTTTGTCTTACCCAGAGTTCTCTTCTGGTTTAGAAAGACCAGAAGAGACTGACAGTCTTCTTTTCTTCTGAACTCTATGACCTGGAAACAGAGACCTTGGTATTTCTCTTAGTCTACTTAGTAGTTGAGGTGTGGTCCAAATGAACTGAATGATGTAACTCAGGGAGCATGTGTGTTCCTGAAGACTTTGTTAGGATAGCTGTTATATACTATCACATATTATATTATTATATATTATCACATATTATGATCCCCTGTGTTTGAATGTTATATTACTAGACTGTGAGCTCTTTCAGGTCAAGGAGTATGTCTTGTCTAAGTTTTTCTTTTTGTTTTTGTTTTTTTTTTCCAGATCTCCTCAAGTGCCTAACAGAATGTTCTGTACATAGTAGGCATTTAGCAAATGAATTATACAGTTTACAACTCCGGCTCCTCTCCCTTGTAGCTCGAGGTTATCTGTAGCCTTCAGTCATCTGTGAGAGTGAGAGAAACTCAAAGAGGTGGAGCAGTCATTTGGACATTAGTCAGTCTGTCGGGCACAGGCAGGAAGGGGGAAGCCTGAACTAGTTACCCAAATCCATACTGGTTTTCTTTCTGAAAAAGGGGACCCTCACTTTGTCCTCAGTTCCCTGTATCAGAATCACAAGCTGTCCAGTGACCCAGTGGAAAATTCCATTTAGCTTATCAGTTTGTTAGTATCCATTCAAATATCAGTTTATCTGTGTGCCTGGATCTATCTTTTGCATTTTCACATTTTACTTTTTTGTTCTCTGAAATTAAGGAACATGCCTGTGCAGCTTGCTTTGTGTGTTGCCTAGCAAAACACTATGTACAAAGCAGAATGAAAGTAATGAAAAATTAAATAGAGTTTCTTTTAAAACAGTAAACAGAAACAGACACCCTATTCAGTGATCCTTTGGAGGAAGTCATCTCTACCATCCAGGTTATAGTAGCTACAATAAGGCTTTGGGTACTGATGTCTCCAAACAGCCTGAGAGGAATTCTATAATTGTTCTTTCCTCTTCAAGAAGCTGAGAATGCTGGATGACAATTCACATTGGCACGATATGTTCCTCATTGAGGGCCCTTTCACCCTCAGTAACATGCCATCCATCCCTAAGCAAACCAGATTGTCAACTATTTCTCTTCAGATCACTTGCCCAGACTTCCCACTTGTAGTCACCTTCATCAGTCTCTAGTAGCATAATTATCTTTGATGATAAAGTCTCTGAATTTCCAAGCCTCTTTAGCAGATTGTACATATATCAGCAACCCAGCCTGGAAGTGAATCACAGGTTGCATTGGGGGAGACCATGTGCATTCTTAACTACCCCTGTTTGCAGTTCATGGTTCAGTCACACTGATAGCAGCTGTTTTGTTGACCATCCTGTAGAAACAAATGGCTGAACTACCTCACTGAAAAATTATTTGGGGAGAGGGAGATATTTGTTCCATTGCCCTTCCAAGGTGAATGGGACCCCCAAGATAAGAAGAGATGGTAGATTTCTAGCTGAGATCTCCTGTTATTCTTCCTTGAATCTAGCCATGATTCACATGTGTCCAGACATTCAGCTCAGGGTCATTTCCTCAAACCTTATTCAGAAAGTTTCTGGTCCCCAAGTGGAAATTCCAGAGCAAAAGAAAACCCATGTCTCTCTACAGAATCTTTCCCTCAGGGTTCGGGTCTGGGACCAGGCAGGGGATGTTGATCTAGGCCAACCTGGGGTTTTACTGAGCCTGGAGCAGAAGAAGCTATGACCAATTTGTGTTCCTAGAAACAGAGGATCCAAGATTGGAAGTGAAGAAACAAATGAAAGGGAGTTGTCCCCATTTCATACCTCAACTCTCTCCTTAGTTCTAAATTCATTTGGAATTTTCTTTAAGAAGGCAGCATGATAGAAAGAACACTAATTTCTGAGTCGAGATCTGGGTTTGAATTCTGCCTCAGATATTTACTTATCTGTGTGATTACAAGTAAATGACTTTACCTCTCAAAATCACAATTTCTCCATCTGTAAAATGGGAATAATGATATCATGCTTATATTACTTATCTTGGGCATGTTGGGAGGAAAATGCTTTGTAAACCTTAAAGTAACTCTGTATCCTAATTTTCTAAGACTCTGGGGCTCAACCTAGCTCATGATTTACTTGAGCTGGTAGGCTAACTCTGTCATGCCTGTTATCATTGTTAGTAATATTTCCAGTTTTATTCTACTGAATATATGTTTAATGAGTACCTACTGTGGGTAAGAATCGGTCCTTTTCTGGCAGTGGTTATTTTAACTCCTCTTCAAAAGCTGGAGTAAACTGCTTATGGAAACCATAACACTTATAGAATTCACCACTGTCTAGTGTGACGTATATGATCCGACTTTACCTCTCACCACTGATTTTCAAAATACAGACCTATCTCTGATTTTAAAATGAAAATCATAAAAAATAAACCAAGGATTAATACTATGAGAGTTCACTTTCCACACAATTTTAAAGGTGGTTTAATAGATAAAAAAGTATATGTGTATTAAGTTCTTAGTGTGAGCAGAACAGGGCACTAGGTATTCACACTGCAGCAGTATTTGTCCTGACTCAAGAAGGGGATCACAGGTAAAATCCTAATCTGAACTTCAGGGATCTTAATATCAAGGCTTCCTCAAAGACAGACCTAGTGATATTTCCTATGCTACAGGCTAACCAAGTCAGTGAAAGTTTTCCTCCAGGTGCTTTCTGATAATAATTCGGTCTGTCACTACTTCTTAATAGGTTGCTATTTGTACTTTCAGTGAAAGAAAATTGGAATTCTTTGAGCATCTGAGGTTAAAATACATTCATGATTTTTTATTTCATTTTTACCCTCCAGAGGTTGACATAAATTTAATCTGCTTGCATCTCTTTGTCTGCACTAAAACCAGCAAGTGTTATAAAGACCCCAGGATGTCCCTAAAGCCTTGGGAGATGTTTTAATGAGCTTTTCAGAACTTTGACTTACTCTTTATTTTTCCTGAGAAAACAGGAAGTTGAGTTGGCCGAGAGGAAGCCCACTCTAATCCCCTGAGATAGCCTTGTGGTGGGGTGGGTTCTTCAAACGCTGGCAACGAGGCCTCTACCCTGCTGGAGACAAACTATGAGAATCTCAGTCGCAAAATGTTGGTTCCCCAGACACCACATGATAATGAAAGGAGAAGTCATATGCTTAGAGAACAAAAGGCCTAAATCTCTCCCAAGTCCCAGATGCACTCAAACAGCTTCCTGGAAATGACGACTAGGAACCTTCTCCATGCTCCTTCAGCTGAGCAGAGACACCTATCTTCCAGAAATCCACTGTTGGAATCAAAATTAATGCTCCCTATGGAAATGTGAATAGTCAGTTATTTTCTGTTCCCTGCATAGCTCAGGCTTTTATCTGTTTGGTATATCTCAGCATACCCAGCAGGGTCTAAACTGGCCGTGAAGCTGAGTTCTCTTATCAGGAGCATAGAACTACTGGGTCCGGGGGCTTGGATGTAATGCAGACTTCTTCACCATGATGGTTCCTTGCCTGCTTCTCTTAAAGAGTTATACGTCACTGGTCAGCAGATCCTTGGTCTGCCTTCCTGCAGCTCTGCCAAGGACTGCCTCCTTGCCAGAATTCAGGCATTATCACCTTGGGCTTTGCAGGAGAAGCCTCCAATCTGACCCTGCTCTCGGGCATTCCCGATGAACTATTTCCTGACCCACAGGTTCTGCTCTGTCTTTCCCTGTTCTGAGCAGACACCTCCCCCAGTGCTTACACTTCAGCCCCTCTCTCTTTAAAGGTAAGGCTGCTTTGGTCACCAGAACCAGTCACCTTGGGGGAATAACCTAGGTGTTCCTCTTTTCCCCAGAGTTTTGAGAATAGCTGGAAGCCTCACCTTGTCATACAATGTAAAAGCACAGGGGCAGAATTAATTTCAGATCCATCAGATGAAAAGGAATGACTTGTGAACTTCTAAGTCTAGAGGGGTTTTTTTCTCCAAAAAAGGAAAAAGGAGAAAATGGTAGGGCGTTGAATGGCCAAACAGAGACAAGTATAATCTCCTTTTAGAGAGTTATTTAAAAATGATGGATTTGAATCTCTCTGAAAAAGACTAAGTATCTGCCCTATCTGGTAGAGACAAGTGAATGACTTAAGTAACCTTTCAAGTCTTTACCTAGCAAGAGGATCTTCTGTCAATCTTTACTCAGATTTCCTGGCTTTTGGGTCAGGTCCCTTAAAAAAATTAAATGAATCTCATAACTTTAGGCCTAGTAGGCTTTGTGAGAAAAGTACTACATGAAATGGGCCAAGAATGAAACCATGGATTAAGCAGTGTTTTCTCTTCTGTCTTGTTTTTCTCCCTCCTCCTCAGCCCCATCTGAACTAAGCCAGCAGCCAGGCAACATGACTCTTATCAGGCTTTGCCAATAGAGGTTCATAAACTCATTCCTGGGAACAGCTGAGCATCTATAACAGGGCTCAGCTCCACAAGTTACATTTCTGTGAATTATGTCTCTGTAGGCCCTATCGCCATGGGTCAGGTATTCTATTTATCTCCCTTTATGGTATCCCTTTCATGTATTACATGCATACGTGTATGTACACATACTGATACACATACATATGTTGTTTTGGGGGTTTTTTTTTTTGCTTTTTGGTGACTTGGTGAATTAAGGTTAAATGACTTGCCCAGGATCACACAGCTAGTAAATGTTAAGTGTCTGAGGCCGGATTTGAATTCAGGTCCTCCTGACTCTATCCACTGGGCCACCTAGCTGCCCCACGTATGTATTTTCAAAGTAGTTCTCATAGATTTCTGTTATACTTGTAAGATATTGAAAACTCACATTGAAGTGGGAACACACTCATTTGGCCCTTATTCTGCATCAGATGTATGTAGATTACATCTCTATAAATAATTGTATGTCCATAGGCCACGTTTGCATAATCATCTAGGTATCCATAGGTCATCTCTCACTGGGTTACCTGTTTGTAGATTCCTGAATTATCTTGGCTTTTTAGTGGAGGCATGCCAAAGATGTGGGAAACTCTGAAGCTTCATGTCAAACAGTGCACCCTCTTCCTCATGACTGTGTAACATCTAAGATCTTCAAACTGTGTGTACCAACTTTGTGAAGCCTTTGGCACCATTAGCAGAACTGGCCTCTGCCACCTAAAGGTCTTTCCCCATTATATCCTGAGGTTCCTCCCCAGCAGTTGTGATTGTTTCCAACAAAGTTGGCAGAACTTTATCTGACCCACTACCCATTTCCAGGGGAGTTGAGTGGGACTAGGTGAGAGGCCCATGTGACCTATGAACTTAGGACTAATGACAGAGAATATAGCAACTCAACAGGCTAGGAATGCCCTCCTGTTTTCTGAAGGCCTTCAATTCATAGCCAGCGGTCCCAATAACCAACTGTACTTGAAGCTCTCAGACAAAGAAGATGTGGAATTAATCTTGGCAGAGCAAGTGTCCCACTATAGACAGGTGCTAAGCCAGAAGATAGCTGAGACTGGGGACTAACCAGAGTGTTTCATTTGACCAGCAAGAGCTGAAATATGCCCATGAATTAATGTTGCCACACAGATACCTATTAACATACCCACCCATGAAGAACATCTTGTTGGTGTCTTTTATGAGGAAAATAGTTATTCCCAGCTTGTAATATGCTGTATATATTACATATTGGACTTAACATTAATATAGGATAAGTAAAACCCTCAGTAATCTGCTATTTACATTCAATTTATGCTTTCCTGATATTTTGAAACGTGTCTAGTACCCCAGGATAGAAGGCTATGGTTGTGCTTCATGTTTTTTCCCTCAGTAAGCCCAGGGCAGGGATCTGCTCACAGTCTCTAATAATAATAGCTTCCATTTTTATATAGCACTTTATAATTTACAAACTACCTTCTTCACTGAAGTTCAGAGATTTACACCCATGATCACATGATTAGCAAGTGCTTGAGTGAGAACTCAAACCTAGGTCTTCTAATTCCAGAATCCTCAGATATTTAAGCCACTTTGCTGTCCTGTTTCATTAGAGCAATGTATATATGCAGTTCCCCATGATGACTCCCAGTTTGGGACCTGCCTACCTCCTGAGGTTCTTTGTAGTTCGATAACATGTAAAAACCACTTCTAGTTTCAGGAGGATTACAGTTCTGCTTTTCCTGGCTCACACATTCCAGTTCAGTTTCTTCTCTTGGATTCGTGCAGTATGCTTGCAGCCTGGTGCCAGGATCCTTGCATCTGGAAGGACAGCCCATTCATAATGCGCTTAAGTCGAGTAGCGTTGCAGCCAACTTGGCTGCAGACATGGGAGGAAAAAGTCTGGCACAAAGCTCCCCTTTTTATTGTGGTTGTTTGTTGCTTCCAGTTGTGGAAAGAGCAGGGAGGGAAGGAGGCCTGGTTCTCCTGGCAGTGCCTCACAGAAATGTTTGCTTTAGATGAGTGATCTGGCCAGCCCTAGTTCACCGCTGTATGTCTTCTTATAAAGCCTGCTACCCAACATTTGACATACTTCCTGGAAAATACAGTGCTGGTGTTTGTACAGCAGAGCTGCCTTCATTTGCTAGGTTCTCCTCCTTTAGTCTGGGATGAAGTAAGGGACCTAAAAGAGAAGGAATGAGCAGGAATGTATTTATTTCCAAGGTCTCTGAGAAAAGGGCTTCTCAGTAAAGATGAGTTTATCTGTTCCAGGAAAGAAATCGAATTTTGGGAAGCCAGAGACCCATAGACTTTTAGGGTACAAAGGGACCCTGTAAGTTCATGTAAGGCAGATTTACATCTTCTTTTGTCTTTTTATATTCCAAACTCCAAGCACAGGACCTTGCAAATAATAATGACTATTATTATTAATGATAATAATAAAAATTTGCTTATGGTTATTAACTTGAGTGCCTTCATTTTACAATTATGGAAGTTATGTCCCAAAGAAGCAAAGTGGCTTTCTATAATCATCAAAAAAGTTTAAATGAGGCTGTCAAAAACAAAATCTAGAGTTCCCCCCCACCCCCGTGAGAACACTATTAAGGACTGAAAAAGACTCAGCTTTAAAGAGACAGGGCAGCTAGAGGGTGTCATAGTGCGGAAGTCAGAAAGACCTGAGTCCAAATCCAGTCTCACTTACTAGTTGTATGGCTCTAGGCTAGTCAATCAGTCTGTCTCAGTTTCCTCATTTGTGAAAGGGGGATAATAATAGCAGCTACCTTGCAAGGTTGCTGTGAGTATCAAATGAAATAATATTTATAAACTACTCAGCACAGTGCCTGGCACATAGTAAGTACTATATAAATGTTACCTGTTGTTGTTAGATGTAGGGAGTCATGGTAGGCAAAGCCCCCTTTCTAGCCTCCTATTTCTGTCAATGACCTACCATTCTTATTATTATATTTGGGTAAAAAGCCTCGGTCATCTTTGACTCATTCTTCTACTTCACCCTCTAAATCCAATCAGTTCTCAGGTACTATTGGTTATTTCTCCAGCGTCCCTCAGATTCTTGTCCATTCTCATGACATCCAACCTAATCTGTACTCTCATGTCTTCATGGCTGAATTACCACAGGAGCTTCCTAACTAGTCTTTTTACTAATCACCTTTCCCCTTCTAATTAACCTGCCCTTGCTGCCAGAGTCTTTCTCAAACAGTCCTTTCACCGTGTCACTCCCTTGCTCTGAAACTTTGAGTGGTTTTATATTGACTTCCAAATTGGCCATATGAGGGCAGCTAGGTGGCACAGTGGATAGAGCACCAGCCCTGAAGTCAGGACTTGAGTTTAAATCAGACCTCAGACCAAGCACTTGACACTTACTAGCTGTGTGACCCTGGGCAAGTCACTTAATCCCAATTCCCTAAAAAAATTAAAAAAAAAAAATACTAAATGCCCTTTAAAAAAAAAAAAACAACACCTGGCCTTTGGGGTAGCTAGGTGGTGCAGTGAATAGAGCTCTGGCCTTGGAGTCAGGAGGACCTGAGTTTAAATCCAGTCTCAGACACTTAACACTTACTAGCTATGTGACCTCAGGCAAGTCACTTAACCCCGATTGCCTCAAAAAAACAAAAACAAACAAATGGCCTTAGAATGACATTCAAGATCTTCCATGATTTGGCACCAACCTACCTAACCTATCTTTCTGTCATTATTCCCAAAGGTGCCCGTCTCTATTTTAATCAGAACCACCTCATTACTGTCCCAGATTCTTGTGCACACTAACTCCTCTGTACCTTTATTCCTGATGCTCCCTGTACCCAGGATTCCCTTCTTCCTACTCTAAACATATCCCCCTTATACTCCACGACCCAATTCAAATCTGCATATCTGTCAATCAGCAAGCACGTATTTAATGCTTACTGTGTGCCAGGCACTATGTTAAGCAGTAGGGATACAAAGAAAGGCAAAAACACTCCTTGCCCTGAAGGATTAGGGAAAGACAAACATGAAAATAACCATATATATACAAGAGGTAATCTCAAGGCACAAATAAAAAGCTGGTGGACTGGGAAAGGTATTCTAAAGAAGGTAGGATTTGAGCTGAGTCTTGAAGGAAGTCAGGGAAACTAAAAGGCAGAGGTGAGGTAGGAAAGCATTTCAAGCCTCAGAGACAGCTAGTAGAAAGGCATGGAGGTGAAAAATGGAATGTCAAACATGAAGAATAGAAAATAACAGTAATAACTAACATTTATATAGCTCTTACTACATGCCAGGCACTGTACTAGGCACTTTACAATTGTTATCTTATTTAAGCCTCACAACCATCTTGAAAGGTAAGTGCTATTATTATCCCCATTTTATAGATGAGGAAACTGAGGAAAGGTTAAGTGACTTGCCCAGGGCCACACAACTCCTAGGTGTATGAGTTCAGATTTGAACTTCTGTCTTCCTGACCCCAGACCCAGTGCTCTATCCCCTCCCTGTACCACCTAGCTGTTCAGTGTAGATGGATTATGGAGTATACTGAGGGAAATAACATGTAAGAAGATTGAAAAGGTAGGAAAAGGGCTAAGTTATAAAGAGAGTTTTTTCTTTCTTTTTAAATTTTTTTTTCCAATTACATATCAAAACAATTTTTAACATTCATTTTTTAAAATTTTGAGTTCCAGATTCTCTTCCTCCCTTCTTCCTGTCCCACCTCATTAGAAGGCAAGCAGTTTGCTATAGGTTATATATGTGCAGTCATAGCAAAACATTTTTCCATATTAGTCTTGTTGTGAAAGAAAACACAGACCAAAAAAAAAAAAAACCAACCAAGAAAAATAAAGAAAATTAAAAAAAAAAAACATACTTCTATCTGCATTCAGACTCAATCTGTTCTTTCTCTGGAGATGGATAGCATTTTTCATTATAAGTCCATCCAAATTCTCTTGAATCATTGTATTGCTTAAAATAGCTAAGTCATTCATAGTTGATCATCATGTAATATTGCTGTTACTGTGTACAGTGTTCTCCTGGTTCTGTTTTACTTCACTTTGCATCAGTTCATTTAAGTCTTTCAAAGTTTTTCTGAAAGCCTCCTGCTCATCATTTCTCATAGAACAATAATATTCCATCATAATCATATGCCATAGCTTGTTCAACCATTCTCTAATTGATAGTCATCCCTTCAATTTCCAATTCTTTGCCACCACAAAAAGAGCTGTTATAAATATTTTGTTCTTATAGGTCCTTTCCCTTTTAAAAAAAAAAATCTCTTTAGGATACAGACCTAGTAGTGATATTGCTGTGAGTTTTATAGACCTTTGGTCATAGTTCCAAATTGCTCTCCAGAATGGTTGGATCAGTTCACAACTCCTCCAACAGTATATTAGTGTCTATTGATTAGAGAAATGCAAATCAAAACAACTCTGAGGTACCACATCACACCAATCAGATTGGCCAACATGACAAAACAGGAAAGTGATAAATGTTGGAGAAAATGTGGGAAAATTGGAACACTAATGCATTGTTGGTGGAGTTGTGAGATGATCCAACCATTTTGGAGAGTAATTTGGAACTATGCCCTAAGGGCCATGAAAATGTGCATACCCTTTGACCCAGCAATAGCACTTCTAGGGCTATATCCCAAAGAGATCATACAAATGGGAAAAGGTCTCACATGTACAAAAATATTCATAGCAGCTCTTTTTGTGGTGGCAAAGAATTGGCAATTGAGAGAATTCCCATCAATTGGGGAATGGCTGAGCAAGTCGTGGTATATGAATGTGATGGAATACTATTGTGCTATAAGAAATGATGAACAGGCTGACCTTAGAAAAACCTGGAAAGACTTTCACGTACTGATGCTGAGTGAAGTGAGCAGAACCAAGAGAATGTTGTACACAATAATAGCCACACTGTGTGATGACTAATATTGATAAACTTAACCCTTCCCCGCAATACAAGGATCTAAGACATCTCCAGAGGCCTTGTGATGGAAAATGCTATCCACATCCAAAAAAAGAACTATGGAAGTTGAATTGCTATTTTTTTTTCCTCTTCTGTTGAGTTTTGTTTCCTCTTTCTGATGGTTCCTCCTATTGGTTTTAATTTTTACTTACAACATCACTAATGTGAAAATATGTTTAATAGAAATGTAAATGTGTAGCCTATATCAGATTGTGTGCCGTCTTGGGGAGGGTAGTGGGGAGGAAGGGGGAGAAAAATTTTAAACTCAAAAGCATATGGAAGTGATTATTGATAAATTAAAATAAATTAATTAAAAAAACAGTATATTAGTGTCCCAGTTTTCCTACATCCTCTCTGATATTTGTCATTTTCCTTTTCTGTCATATAAGCCAATCTGATAGGTGTGAGGTGGTACCTCAGAGTTGTTTTAATTTGCATTTCTCAAATCAACATTAATTTAGAGAATTTTCTCATATGATTATAGACAGTTTTGATTTCTTCATCTAAAAAGTGCCCATTCATATCCTTTGACCATTTATCAATTGGGAAATAACTCTTATTCTTATAAATTTAACTCAGTTTTCTATATATTTGAGAAATAAATTCTTTATCAGGGAAACTTACTGTGAAAATTTTTCCCAATGTTTATAGGATTCTGGTTTTTAACCTACTCTGCTATTCACTTCCATTTTATGAGTAAATTCATCCCATTCACATTCACAGTTATGATTACTAACTGTATTTTCTTCCTAATTTTTCCCTGTTTATGTTTCTGTCTCTCTCCTTTCACCCTGTCCTTCTTCAAGTGTTTTGCTTTTGACCACTACCTTTCCAAATCCTCCCTCCCTTCTATCAGCCTCCCCCTTCTCTTATCTTTCTCCCCTCCTACTTCCATGTAGAGTAAGATAGATTTCTGTACCCAACTGAGTGTATACGTTATTCCCTCTTTGAGCCAATTCTGTTGAGGGTAAGGTTCAAGCATTGTCTGCCATCACCTCAATCTTCCTCTCCATTGTTAAAGCTATTTCACACTTCTTCTATGTGAGATACTTTACCCCATTATACTTCTCCCTTCCTCCTTCTCCCAGTGCATTCTTCTTTCTCACACCTTAATTTTATTTTTTTGGATATCATTCCATCATAGTCAACTCACACCTGTGCCCTCTGTCTATGTATATTCCTTCTAACTGCTCTAATAATGATAAAGTTCTTAGGAGTTACAAGTATCATCTTCCCATGCAAAAATGTAAACCGTTTAACTTTATTGAACATCTTATGATTTCTCTTTTCCATTTACTTTTTTATGTTTCTCTTGAGTCTTGTATTTGAAAGTCAAATTTTCTATTCAGTTCTGGCCTTTTCATCAGGAATGCTTGAAAACCCTCTATTTCATTAAATGTCTATTTTTTCCCCTGAAGGATTATACTCAGTTTTGCTGGGCAGGTGATTCTACTGTAATCCTAGCTCCTTTGCCCTTTGGAATATCATATTACAAGCCCTACAATCCTTTTATGTAGAAACTGCTAAATCTTCTGTTATCCTGATTCTGGCTTCACAATATTTGAATTGTTTCTTTCTAGCTGGTTGTCTCATTAACCTGAGATCTCTGGAATTTGGCTATAACATTCCTGAGAGTTTTCATTTTGGGATCTCTTTAAGGAGGTGATCAGTGGATTCTTTCCATTTCTATTTTACCCTTTGGTTCTAAGATATCAGAGCAGTTTTTCTTAACTATTTCTTGAAAGATGGAGTCTAGGCTCTTTTTTTGATCAGATAGTTTAATAATTCCTAAATTATCTCTCCTGGATCTATTTTCCAGGTCAGTTGTTTTTCCAATGATATACATTAGATTTTCTTCTATTATTTTTTTTATTCTTTTGACCCTGTTTTTATTGTTTCTTAATAGTATTGTTTCTTGATGACTCATGGAGTCATTAGTTCTTATTTGTGCACTTCTGATTTTTTAGGAATTATTTTCTTTTTTTTTTAAACATGGAACCCTTTATTCATAATGGGATTTCTGTACATTAGGCGCAAGGGTGCATTGTTAAAGTCCTATAACGAATGGAACCGAATCACTAGAAGAAACATCGACAAAACCAAACTAGCATATGATAAAAATCCATGGGAACTTAAGGTTCAAATCCAGCCAAGAAGTTTGTGACAATTTCCTTCAGCTTTGCATCTGACTGTTCTAAAAATAGGGAACGCTTCATGAATTTGCATGTCATCGTTGCGCAGGGGCCATGTTAATCTTCTCTGTATCGTTCCAATTTTAGTATATGTACCACCCAAGCAAGCACTAGGAATTATTTTCTTCAGTGAGCTTTTGTACCTCCTTTTCCACTTGGCCAGTTCTAATTTTTAAGGGGTTCTTTTCTTCAGTGAATTTTTGTGCATCTTCTCCCATTTGGCCAATTCTGCTTTTTAAGGAGTTCTCTTCAGTGGATTTTTTTGTGCCTTTTTTTTTTTTTTAACCATTTGGTCTGTTCTGTTTTTTAAGGTGTTCTTTTCTTTAGTTGTTTTTTTTTATTGTGCTTCTTTTACCAAACTATTAACTCTTTTTTCATGGTCTTACATCACTCCCAATTCTTTCCCCAGTTTTTCCTCCACTTCACTTATTTGATTTTTTTAAATCTTTTTTGAGCTCTCCCGAGAATTCTTTTTGGGGCTTAAGATCAGTTTACATTTTTCTTTGAAGCTTTGCATGTAGCTGTTTTGACATTGTTGTCTTCTGAATTTGTGTCTTGGTCTTCCCTATCACCACTTACTATGTTTAGGGTTTTTTTTTTGTTTTTTGCTCATATTTCCAGCCTATTTCTTGACTTTTAACTTTATGTTAAAATTGGGCTCTGCTCCCGGGGTGGAGGGGACACTGTCCCAAGCTTCAGGGTTTTGTTTTGTCTTTTTGTATCTGTTTTCAGATATAACTCTGGAAACCTATAAGTTTTTGGTTCTTCAAGGTGGTATGATCTAGGAAGGTGTGTATTTACTATTCTCCTGGCCTGTGCTCTGGTCTGTGAGTGCCTGCAAGTACTCTTTTCCACCCTGGAACTATGACCAGGATCCTCACTCCTATTAATGCTCCTTCTCGCCCTAGGACTGTGGCCCAGAACTGCATATGGGCAAGGCATCAGAGTCCTGCACAGTGCCAGCAAAGGGTTCTCCTTTTGACTAGTTGCCCAACTCCCTTACCATTGGGCTGAGAGCTCTAGAAGCCACCACTGCACCAAGGCGTACTGCTGGCTTTTTGAGACATGGCATGTGCTGGACCACACTCCCACTGAGATAGACCTTTTCTACCAACCTTCTAAGTTGTCTTGGGCTGGAAAATTGTTTCACCCCATCCTTTTGTTCATTCTGCCACTCCAGAATTAATTTTGAGGTGTTATTTTAAAGTTGTTTGGAGGCAATTTAGGAGAGCTCAGGTGAGTCCCCACCTTTATTCTGCCATCTTGGCTCCACCTTCTCTTGTTGTATAAAGAGTTTTAAATGCCAAACAAAAGACTATATATTTGATCCTAGAGGTATTAGCCAGGAGCCACTGGAATCTACTGAGAAGGAAACTGGCATGGTCAATAGTAAATAAATCTCTACTTCTTTTGAAAATTACTTTGTTAGGGGCAGCTAGGTGGCGCAGTGGATAGAGCACTGGCCCTGAAGTCAGGAGGACCTGAGTTCAAATCGGGCCTCAGACCAAACACTTGGCACTTACTAGCTGTGTGACCCTGGGCAAGTCACTTAACCCCAACTGCCTAAAACAAACAAACAAACAAAAAAGGAAAGAAAGAAAATTACTTTGTTAGCTGAAAGGTTGGTGGATTGGAATGGGGAAAGATTTGAGTCAAGGAAACCAATTAGAAGGATTTTGCAATAGTCAGGCAAAAGTTTATGGGATCTGAACTAGGATGGTGGCTGTATGAATAAGATATATACAAGTGGTGTTGTGAAAGGAGAAGCAAAAATATTTGGCAACATATTGGATATAGGGGAGAGGGGTGAGTATAAATGAGGAATCAAGGATGACACTAAAGGTTATGAGCCTGGGTGACTAAGAGGATGGCGGTGCCCTTGACAGTAGTAAGGAAGTTTGAAAGAGAAAAGGGTTTGGGGCAAGAGATAACAAGTTTTTTTTCAGAGTGTTGGGTTTGAGATTCCCATGGGACATCCAGTTCAAAGTGTCTAAAAGGCAGTTGATGATGTAAATCTGGAGGTCAGGAGAGAGACAAGGGCTGGATAAATAGATCTGGGAATCAGCTGCATAGAGATGACAGTTGAAGCCATGGGAGGTAATGTGATTACCAAGAGAGAGCACATGGGGAAAAAAGAAGAGGGCCCAGGACAGAGCCTTCAGGGATACACAGAGTTAGTGAGCATCATATGATGAACTAGCTAAAGAGACTGAGGAACATTCATCAGACAGCTTGGAGGAGAACCAGAAGAGAGCAATGTCACGAAAACCGAGAGGGGTAGACTCTCCAGGAGCAGAAGATGATCATCAGTGTCAGATGCTGCAAAGGCCAAGCAGCATTAGGACTGAGGAAACACCATCAGGTTTGACAATTAAGAGATTATTCATAACTTTAGAGAGCTCGATTTCAGTTGAAGGGTGAAGTTGGAAGCCAGATTGCAAAAGGTTTAAAAGAGAGTGAGAGGAGAGGAAGTGGAGACACAAATTATAGATGACTTTTCCAAGAAATTTAGCCTAGGAGATAGAGAGATAGAGGATGATAGTTCATGGAGATATTAGGATCAAATGAGTGGTAGCAGGGATGGGGTGGGAAGAGGGTGGTAGTTAAGGATAGAAGAGACATAGGCATGTTTGTAGGCATCAGGGAAGGACCTTGATAGGGAAAGATTGAAGATGAGAGAGAGTGTAGATGATAGTGGAGACAATCTTCTGGAAAAGACAGAAGTGAATGGGATCAATGGTACATATAGAGGAGTTGACTTTGTCAAGGAGAAAGACCGCTTTTCCATCAAAGACCACAGTGAAGGAGATGGTAGAGGAAGGTGTCTAAGTGACATGAGATGAGGAGGAGGGGAGAAGGGAAAACTCTTGTTGGATGGCCTCAATTTTTTTGGTAAAGTATGAAGCAAGTTTCTCAGCTGAGAATATAGCTGGAAGGGGCAACAGCACATACATATGTAAGTGTATATAAAATAAATACAAGGAAATGTGAGAGGGAGGGAATCAGGAAAAGTTTCATATAGAGGTGTCCCTTGAGCTGAGTTTTGGTGTCCTCCATGAAATCTTTCCTGATGGTTCCACTAAATCTTGATCCTTCTCTTCCCTAACACCAATTGTACTTACAGCTTGTGCCACATAACTAGTGCCATATTATTTGCTATCCTGTTCTCTAAATGTGTTATACAATTGTTTTATTATATCAAGGTTTGCTTCTTGTTTCATATGTGTTAATCTTGTCTCTCATCATTGACTCTCAGCTCTTTGTGGGCAGGAAATGTATTCTATAATTGCTTGCTAGACATTTGCAAGGGGAGTAAAGTACATGATGAGTGTATTGTGAGTGATTTATTAAATGTAAATGAAGCATGGACAAATCCATTTTTATATTGGGGGGAAGGAGAGTTGTTTGTGTCTTATCACCAAACCATGAAAAGCACCGAGGCTGAATTCCTAAGCGCAGCTAGGGTTTGATGACCATAAAGAGACACAGTGGAATCGGTTTCACCGTGAAAAAGGAAGCCTAGATGTAAAGATGCTTCTGTGTGGTCATGGACTGGGCTATACTTATTGCAGGTACCCAGGGCATGGTGGTAACAGATAGACTACCTCATTGGACGACAGCATTAGTGACAGGGCTCAAGTCATGTCTGCAGTCACTGTTGAGGAACATCTGGTGAAAGATAAAATCAAAAGATAGCAACTTTTGTTTTAAATACTGGCCATTGCTGTGGAGGTAATAAACTGCACACCATGGATGGAATAGGTGTAAAGAATGCCAACGCATTGCCAGGAGATGCTGAGGCCCTGCTGACCCTTGTGGAATCAGGGCAAGGTCTGGGGGAAACTTGTATAGGGTAAAGGCTGTTCAAAGAAAGAGTGTCCCATGAGCTTACTTAGACAGACAGAATATGTTTGTGTCTTACTATCTCCCTGGCTCTGCTGCTGCCCATAGTTTCATACCTCCCCTGATGATTTATATGAGAACCAGCATATTCTGTTCTCTTTTACCCTTTTCTTTTTTTCCCTCTCCCAACTGGATCCAGAGGTTGAGCCAGTGTCACAGCCAAAATCCACATTGAACTCCTACTGATAGGCAATTTCTCTCTGGCAAAGCAAACATCCTATTCCAGAAAATTCCAGGAAGTCTGTTGACTTACAGTTTCATTATGACTTTCCTGAGTGAACCCTACCAAGAGGGCATGAAGGTGGGTGGGGAAGGGAATTTTCTGTAACTACACTCGTACCAACCATACCATTTTGCTGGACAAATGATCACCTCTGATGTCAGTCCTAATGGCAGGAAAACTATATAGACTATGAAACTCAGTGTTTCAAAAGAACATGCTACAATCAGTGTATATGAATGTGAAGTATCTTATGTTAAGATTATGGGAGTAGAAAGCAAGAAAAGAACATTTGGGAGTTTGGGGTACTCTAGAAGGGTTGCATCATTTCATTTACCATAAGGTCTTTAACAAAAAATAAACTGGTTTTGAAAATGAATTAGTCCCTAATGTGATTCATTTTTCCTAATGGTATCCAATAAGTTTGGCAGAAGTTATATGTGATCAACATCAATTCTGCCATCTAGGGTATCAGACATCCATTCCTTATTCATTCTAGCCTTGCTAGTCACCTTAATCAGGTCATCTCCTAGGCTGTACTTCAATATTTGTGCTAGTAAAGTAGGTAGAATGCTATCCATTACTGGAGAATATTATTATTAATAATAAGTACTTGCCCTGGGATTTGGGACACGTTGAGGAGGAGATAAAATTGGCCCAGGGTCCTTGTAGGAGAAATAACATGACCTCTGTAACACATTAGTAGCATCTTTCTTGTGTTTTTAAATTTTATTGATATCTTTTGTTTTATGTTACCTTCATTTCTGAATAGATTTCTCTCTCTCTCTCTCTCTCTCTCTCTCTCTCTCTCTCTCTCTCTCT